AGAACCAGAAGGGATCTCAGAAACCATCTAGTTTAATCCCTTTCTTTAAAGATGAGGAAACTAAGGCCCAGAAATGTTAGAGGGCTTGCTCAAAGTCAGAAGCTAGTAAATAGCAGAGTCCTCTAACTCCAAATTCATTACTGTCTTAGCTGTACTGTGCTCCCTCACACTTAAAGACCTTTATGAACATCAGCCACCATGATAATAATCAACCTCTAGAACCCTATCTGTGGCTTTCAGTCTTTGCTTATATTGTGTGTCTTCAGCCCTCTTGGTTGAGGCTACTTCCGAAATCCTACTTATAACTCAATCACCTCCATTTCATTGCAGAAAAACCGATTTCCTCTCCTTTGCCATCCAGTTGGGAAACACATTCTGGGATGCTGCAGTTCCCACTGATTATCCTGCAAACTAACTTCCTAAAATATCCTCTTGATAAAGATATGGTAAATTGGAGGCAATCTCTGCCAAGAAGTGGTCTAACTGAATGAATAATATATGAATTTCTCCAGGCCTGTTTGTAAAAATAAATGTACTTCATTAAAATACCCAGGACGCGCCAACCTACCAGCAATTTTCCCTTCCCTCCTTTTTTTTTTTTTAAAGTTTTCATTCCCTTTATTCTTTAAGCACTATTCATTAAAATTCTTCCTCTGGCAGGATCATACTGAGTTACGTAAACTAAGAAACAGAAGAGGCTTAGCCAATTTGTGCAAAATGAGATTAAAAATCTGAAACATTGCAGGCTATGAGTGGAGCTGGTAGAATGATTATTATCCTATGATCCTGTGATTCCAGGACCTCTGTGAGGAAGAAAAAGGACTACAGTGAGTTGTTTCTCCCTCTATTGTTCTAGAAGAGGCTTTAACCAGCGTGGTTCTGTTGGTCTTCCTAGTATGCTATCAAAGTATTCTTCTCACTCCTCGACTTCATGTATTTTGTAACTATTCCACTTTACTTGTTTGAAAACTGATGGGGGTAGTTTTTGGAAAGGACACTTGGTTGCTCAGTGAATGTTAAAGAAGCCAGAAAAACATATTCTCCCACCAATTACCAGCTACAGCATTCCAAATGTCACATTAGGTTGTTGTTTTTCAGTTGTGTTCAACTCGTGACCCCATTTAGAATTTTCTTGGCAAAGATACTGGAGTGGTTTGCCATTTCTCTAGCTCGTTTCACAGATAAGGAAACTGAGGCAAACAGAGTTAAGTGACTTGCTCTGGATCACACAACTAGTAAGTGCCTGAGGCCACATCTGAACTCAGGTCTTCCTCCTTTCAGGCACAGTGCTCTATCACCACACCACCTAGCCATGCTCTTGTGTTAGGGTACTTGTCAGCAATCTGGGCAGTGTCTCAGAATTCCCAAGATACTTGGTTCCATAATCAAGAAAGATTCCCATTTCTTATGGACTTCCTCTAGGACTCTATACTATAAAACACAGGGGTGCCCTTGCCCATACCTACTGAAAACAATGTCTCATTTGCCTCCAGTGCCTTCTCTTGGCACCAGAAACCAGCAGTTAATGAGTGGCATTGAGGGACCACTACAAAGAGTCTATCCATGAAGAAGTCTATCCAGATCTTAGAGGATACTGCTTGAAAAGGATGATGCTTTTTTCTACTGGGACACCAACACTTTTACAAGGTTTTCTCTCAGTGGGATGGATGGGTAGTCTTCACTATAGTCTACACTGATCTCATCCAAGATTTCCCTTAAACCAGTCCTACAGAGAGCATATAATAACTTACAGTACTGAAACAGTATAATATCCTTAGCATCTAGGGCCTAAATCAGAAAATGTCACCCTCAAAATTGAGCATAATGAATATTTCACCATACTATAATTAAGTAGAAATTCTCAAACATCCTCATAAAAATCACAAAGCCAGAAGAAATGTTAGAAGTAATCTAATCAAATTTCCTCATCTGACAGGAAAGGAAACTGAGGCCTAAAGAAGCAAGTTACCCAAAGTCACACAGCTCACAAGGGATTTAAGGCAATATTCTCTATACTGGACTTTAGAGTCTAGAACCCAGGGCCCACATTTCTGTTTGTTAAGCTGTATAACCATAAGCAAGTCACAACCTCTTTGAGTTTCAGTTTCCTTACCTAAAAAATGAGGAAAATAATACTGTACTAATTATCTCAGAGTTCTCTGCAAACCTTCCAACAGTACCTAAAGGTGAATTGTTATTAGTGGTGATAGCAGTGGTAAGAGTTGGAACTAGAACAAAGTGTTCTGAAACACCCCAATGCAGGGGTATCTCTACTACATCATGCTACCTTTGCACTATGAACACTGTAGCTGTGCCTCATTTCTTCCAGACAGATTTATCAGGATACCTTGTTTGAGGACAATGTTCAATATAAAGCTGCAATGTTTCCTCCATTATTTTTTATTTTTTAACTTTTACATGATTTAACACATTTTAGTTTAACTGAATGGCAGATTTGAGAAATCTGAGAAGACTGGCATGAACTGATTTCTAGGCATCTCGTATCGGGTGTCCTTAAAATCTTAGTGAAGTTTTAGGTTTTAATAGCTTAAATTCATACCCAAAAGCTTTGTTAGCTTAAAACTTCACTAAGACTCTGGGGATACACTGTACACAAGGCCAAAAAAAGGTTACCAAAAACAGCACTAAAATATAGCAGGATTCACATGATTCACAAACTCTCATCTTGGTTCTAGAGAACAAATGTTGAAGCACTCTTCCCTCCTCTTGGTAGAAAGGGGATAGAATATAATAAGGAATTGTTTGCTTATGCTGTCTGCTCCCAGATGCTGGGTCAGCTTGCTTTGTTGAACTGTTTCCCTTTGTTCAAAGAGGGAGTTGGTTTGGAAAGTGATAGCATGTAAATATCACCTTTTATTTTCTAGTTCTGAATAGCCAATAGGCAACAGGAGGTTACAGCTGGTGGGAAGATGAAGTCCCGGGCAGCTAGGTGGCATGGGGGATAGAGTGTTGGACCTGGAGTCCAGAAGACTCATCTTCCTGAGTTCAAATCTAGTTTCAAACATATACCAGCTGTATGACCCTGGGCAAGTCATTTTACCTGTTTGCCTCAGTTTCCTCATCTGCAAAATGAGATGGACCAAAAAATAGCAAACCACTCCTCCAGTATTTCTGCTAAGAAAGCCCCAAATGGGTTAATGCAGAGTCAGACACGTTTGAAAAATCACTCAACAAGAAGGAAGTACTGCCCACATTTTGGTATTTAGAGTCCAGTAGAAAAACAAAAGAGTGGAACAGATTGTTTTATGAATGTCCTAATACATAAGATTTAGAGATGGAAGGGACCTTACATGCCAGCTAGTCCAAGCCCTTCATTTTACATAAGATGAACTAGGGCCTAGAGGGGGTTTAAGTGACTTTTTCAAGGTCACACAGGGAGTACAGGTAGCAGGGACAGAATTCAAAACCTGGTCCTCCTACCTTAAATCCAGTTATGTTTTATAATGCACCCTGCTGCATCATTTATAGATAAATGATAAAGCTAGGGCCCAATGAAGTGACTTGCCCAAGGTCACACAGGTAGCAGCAGGTAGCAGAGCTGGGTTTGACCCTGAATCTTCTGTTAACAAATCCAGTATTCTTCCCATCGTAAAATGCTGCCTCTTATCTCAAACCTCTGCTTTATTTCTACCATGCAGTCAGTCAGAGGGAGACCATATGGATTATGGAGTCACGATTTCAAGGCTTAGCAACCTCCCCAATCCTCAGGAGAGCTAGAAGAGGTCATGTGGTGCAATCGGCAGGCATAAACCAGGGGTGGGAGAGAAAGAAAATAAAACAAAATAAACAGTGGGAACATACCTGAGGTAGGAGTCATCTCCAAGGATGAGACAAGGATTGGGTGAGGGGAGGGAACAAGGATTTATTAAGTGCCTACTGTGTGTCAGGTACTGTGCTGAACACTTCACAAGTAACTCATTTGATTCTTACAATAACCTTGCAATGTAGGTGTTATAATTATAGGTACTGGAACACTTGATTACTGCTACTTCCATGAATTAAACTAACCTATTCATTCAATAAATAACTGATTAAGTATTTCTTGAAGTGCACTATTACTGGGGCCTCTGCGAGTTTAACACTGGCTTCTTTTATCTCTCCCCAAAGCTCCTCATTGCCTACTGTGTGATGCAGCCAAACTGCTGTCCAGCCACCACATTCCAAAATATTCTATTAGCTCTAATAAGAACATGCATATAAGCAAAGAGTTCAGGGTCACTGAATCACAGGGTTGGAAAGGGCTTTATAACATCTTGTCCAAACTGTAGTTGAAAGACCTCTTCTCTACAATATTACTGATTAGACATCACTTAGCTTTCTGCTTGAACATTCCCAGTGACAAGGAACCCACATCCTCACCAAATGGTCCATTCCCTTTTTGGACACATCCAATTGCTACGAAGGTCTTCCTTCTCTTGAGCAGAAATCTGTTTCTCCTTCCCTATAATTTCTATTCTAGCTATTGGTCTTCATTTTAGCCAACACTTCTCAGAAGCCTGGTTTGGGAGATACTTACTGCAAGGTCTAAGGCTGGACTACACTTAAGATTTCTATGAATTAAGACCCTCATTTCAGGTTTTAAAATAGCACTTTGAGTGCATGCAATTTGCCAGCTTTGGTTTTTTTTGCAGTCACTGATAGATGCATAGATGGAAGGATAATATTTCCACTGGGAACACAACTAATTTTTTTAATCTTGTACTTGACTTTGAATTGTAATTTTATTTTATGTCCTGAAATCAACTTTTCTTCTTATGGGATGAGCCAGAAGAAAAAAGCTATCACCCCAATTAGAACCTATTAAATTAGGTTTGTCACAGACTTATAATCTATCTCAACTCCTTCATTTTGCAAATGAAGAAACTGAAACCAAAGCCCCTGATTTTGGCTGTACTGGTATTGGTATATTCTATTCCAAAAAGGGGAAACAAACCAAAGAAAACCAGACCCTCTTCCCTCTTGCTCATTCAGGCACGTACCTGACACTCCACATTGCAGTAAAATGCTTGTCTACATCTTCCACATTTCGACAATCCTTCTTTCCTTAAAAAGAAAAAGGGCGCTGTAATATCCACCCTGTAGTGGAGACGGGCATAGACACACAATGCTACCCAGTTTGTCATGCAATAATAAATTGGATAACAGAGTCAAGATTTTATTAACCTTAAATTTCCCACTGGCAAATGGACATTTTTTCAGAAAAAAAGATTTTTGGCCACAAAGCCAGTGGTCAAACCCCAGCGTAAATGGCGATTAGTCAATCTGAATGTCTACAAGCACTGTTATTGATGTTTGGTCACTTCATTCTTGTCTGATTCTCTGTGACCCCACTCAGGGTTTTCTTGACAAAGATACTGGAAGATACTGGAGTGGTTTCCATTTCCTTTTACAACTCATTTTTACAGATGAGGAAACTGAGGCCAACAGGGTTAAATGACTTGCCCAGAATCACACAGCTAATAAGCATCTGAGGCTAGATTTGTACTCATATTGCTGAATATTTAATACATGAAGAATACTACACTAGTTAATGTACTGGGATAGAAAAAATTAATAGGGCAGGCCAAAAGTCAGAGAGCAGCTGTAAGCTTAAAATTTAAAGACTTGAGAATTAAAAGCTTAAGCCGCAGGAGATCTAGCCCATGGTTCTTCAACCCAGAGAAACATAAAAACTAAGGTAATAATATGTTCTAATTATCACTCTTGGTTTTATTTATGGCTTTGTGGCAAGAAGCCAACCTTCTGCACATCAGTTTTCTCATCAGCAAAATGGGGATGATAGCACTAAAACTATCTTACAGGTCTGACACACTCCAAATCCAGGACACTAACAAAACCTTTTAAAACACAGCAAAAAGTGAATGAATGAATGCCAACCTGATCCTTAGAGATGGCTTCATAGAAAAGCTGATTAATACTAATGGTTGTGAACACGAGGCAAATAAAATGCCTGCATTCAAAACCTTGTCATTTGCTAGTAGGGTCATTCTCAAATGAAATGTCTGAAACACGAGCTGATGGACGCATCTGCACATTTCTATCCATACTGTCTCTCTTTAATTGTATTAATCAGAAACAACCTTTCTGCCCTGTTACTAACGGTGAGTTTTCTGCAGGCTCCTGCTGTGTTGTTTTTGTGTAGCCCTTACATAATAAGAACTCTACTGCTCCTTTGTGACACTTTCTATGTTGCTATGTGCCCTGCTAGATTCAGACCAGTTATGACTTTTTCAAAGAAAATAAACTCACAAACTAAAACATATAAACAAACTTTTTTCAGATTTTACTTTTTCCTCTTCCAAAAAACATTCTGTGTAATTCTTGGCCCTGGTAAATCCATCCTCTTTATCTGCAGAATTATTCGACTGCAGTGGAGAGGACAGAAGGAAAATCAGGAAAGCCAGCCACTGCTCCAACTCCACTGCAAAATATGCTGCTGCATTGCAGCAGATCGGAGGCATAGCTTTGTGCCTGCAGGATGGCAGACCTGACCTACCCCAGCAAGAAATCAGAGCTAGCCAACCCTGACAGATCCCTCTCCATGAGCTGGCAAAAAAAAAAAAAAGAGAAAAGAAAAAAAACCACGCTGCTGAATTCTTTGCTCCTCCTTGTCAGCAAGCAGTAGTCACTACATTACTCCCACAGAATCCAGCAAGTTTTCCAAAAATGCTTCTGTTGGAACTAAACAGACTGTCTTACAGTTTTCATGACAGCGCTTGAATCCCGAGAATCAGACTGCACGATGTGTGGGAGAAACACATTTCAAAGCTGAAGCATAACAAACATCCCAAATTTGCAGGTCTAAAAACAATTGTCAAGAACACGCTAATCCAGCCAAATGTAGCCCTTGTTTCCAGGTACTTCTAGATACAAGGACATGATTCCTTTGGATGTATCCAGGTGTTTAACTCTTATCTTTGGGGGGTGGGGGTGAAAGTCAAAGGTTGGTTAAGCATTCATTTAGTGCCTACCGTAAGTGGTGTATCTAGGTGGTAGTGGCAGTATGTGTGTGAGTGTGTGTGTGTGCGTGCGTGCACACGCGTGTGCACATGCTCACGTGTACTCATGTGAGAGGGCTATGGAGGAGGAGGGAGAAGAGGAGTGCAAAGCCCACACACACACAAAAGAAAGATAACTTTCTTAATATCCCGAAGCTTATACCATATTTGGGAGAGGCAGACTCATAAATGACTAATGGCAATTAGCAAGTCATTGGCCAACAAGTGCATAGACATAGTTCAAGAGAGCCAGGTAGTTTGAGTGTTGAACTTGGAAGTAAAGAAATCTTCTAACTGTGTGAGCCTGAGCAAGTCACTTAAACTCTCTAAGCCTCAGTTTCCTCATCTGTAAAATGGATATAATAAATACCCCCCCAGAGTTGTTGTGAGAATAAAATGAGATATTTGTAACGCCCTTTGCAAAACACAAAATGCTATATAAATGCTTATAATCATCATCTTCATCATCATTATGTGTAGAAGTATCAAACTCTGAGGCTGAAAACTTGAGTTTGAATCCTAGTTTTGACATGTTCTATGACCTAAGACCCTTGGTCTTCTTTTGAAAAATGGTTTGCTATGAGGATTAAACATTACAGTAAAGTATATAGAACTCTGGAGCCACAAAGAGCTGTATAAATTAGGGTTATATTAAGCTACAGTTTGAATACATAATAATCATGTGATTAGAGTACAAAGGGGATATCTGAGAAGGCTTCTTGGAAAAAAGTAAGTTTGTAGATGCTTAATATGTGTGGTTGTATCTTCTTCCTTCCTCTATTAAAAAAAAAAAGATCTACTTTTAATTAAGATGCAGCTTTGACTCATTTCCAGGCTCAATGGTAACATCTCAAGGGGAAAGTAGGCCATTTTAGCTGTAATGACTCATCCAGCATGCTGAGATCTTGAGTGGGATTTGATCAAACAATGTGGCCACTCTCTCAATGGTCAAGGCTCCTTTGGATCCAGTAACTTCAGTGGCCAAGACTCCTTTGTGGGATCCAGTCTTTTGGTCCACAAGCCTTGACGACAAAGCAAAGGACAGTTACTGACTTACTCTCTCAAATTCTTTTTCCTCTGAGGATTGGGACAATTATCCTGAAGGCAGGGAAGGTATCCCAAGAAAGAGATTCAGAAGATCATGAGGTTAGAGTTGGAAAGAACCTGAGAGGTCATCCGGCCCAACTCCCTTGTCTACAGATGTAGAAACTGAAGCCCAGAGAGAAGTGACTTGTCTAAGGTAATACAAGCAGCAAGGGGCAGACCACTGGGTCTGATGACCTTAAATCCAGGTCCTTTGATTCTAAATCTGGTCTTTTTACTACATCTCTGTTCTATAGCAATCACGCTATCTGACAGAGCCAACTCTGATGAGGACATAGTGACAGAATGGACATCTGACTACTTGCTGTGTGAAAGCACTCCTCCATGTGGTCTGGGGGAGGCCTTTAATCCCTAGAAGGAGGCAAAACAGAGGATAATAAGAGCTAATATTTATATAGCACTCACGCCAGACACTCTGCTAAGTGTTCTACAATTGTTATCTAATTTGATCCTAACAACCCGGGAGGTAGGTATTACTATTTTACAGATGAGGAAACTGAGGCAAACAGTTATTGAGCAAGGGAGGATTCAGACTCTGATCTTCTGTCTCCAAAGTTAGCACTCATTCCACTGACCCATGCTGTCTCTACTATTTTCAGTTCTCTAGAATGAGAAGCAGAGAAGCTCATCTCTCCCATTCCATACCATCAATCTCATTCTACAGTACCTCATTATTCCACAGGTTTTGGTTTTGCTGCTTGTCAAGTGATGGCCTCTATGTACACAGTGATGTAATACTGCAGATCTCTCACTGTAGCACAAAATGCTGACTCTGGCCAGATTGTTCTTATCCCTAAATACCAGTATTTTAAGAGTATCTTACCACAGAGTTCATCAGCTGGTGCTCACTACCAACTGGTTGTCTGATTATCACTTTAAGGATCTCACCGGCTAGTTCTCTTCTGTCAAGCAGAGGAGAAACCTGAGGCAATTACTGTCACTAATACAGGCAAAAGTCTGCTTTTGTGTTAAACACTCTGGGGAAAAAATATGACCCAAAACTTTTTGCCCTGAATTATCTGACTAATCGTCTCAAGGTTTTTAATTTTTTTTTTTTGTAATTAGAAGAGGTCTGAACTTTCATAGTTCTAATATCTCAGCTTTGAAATAAAGCCTCATTGAGCTGGTAAGTGAGTGGGATAAGGAGAGTGGAGAAAATGTTTGATATTGCTGACAGGGAAGTTTTATCTGGAAAAGTTTACTCAAACTATTTTCCAGGAGAATGAATTTTCTGAATGTCAAATCCCTGAAAACTGCATAGGGGGAATAAAATTTTCAGTGCAGTAATTATAAATACAAGGCTTATGAAACATATTCGCAGGACTGTAGGGTTTGCAAACATCTGATCTACTTTACCGGTTAAGAAACTGAGGCCTAGAGACATTAAGCTTATATAGTATCTCCCAGTAACTACTGAAATCTAGGTTTTAATTTTTAATTTAATCACATCCTAGCCTAGTACTGTGTGTTATGTTCAATAAATCCTTAATAAATCTGATTGCATAAATGAATAAGCAGCCTAATTTGAGGCTCTCCTAATTAAAAGGATGGTTAGGGAGAGTGATGTGACTGATTTAAGAGTCTTAAGACACTTCAATCAGTCAACAAGCACCTATTAAAAGTGCCTTCTATATGCCAGGTGGGCCCTATGCCATGTGTAGCAGGAGATTACATTCTCCTGGGAGAGACAACAAGTAGTAAGTAGGTTTCTACAGGATACACACAAAATACAAGATAATTTTGGGAAAGAAGGCACTAGGAGCTGGGGTGGGGTGGGGGGTGGGCCCAAGAAAGGGGTCACATCCAAGTTGGTGATTAAGCTGAATCTTAAATGAAACAAAGGAGGAATGAGGACAGATAACACAAAAGCATGGACACAGTGTTATGTATAAGTGACAGCAAGAAGGCCAGTCTGGCTGGCCTGCAGGAAAGGAAGTGGAA